ATGAGATCACTTGGACACAGGAAGGGGAACATCACACACCGGGTCCTATTGTGGGGAGGGGGGAGGGGGAGGGATAGCACTAGGAGATATATCTAATGTAAATGATGAGTTAATGGGTGCAGCACACCAACATGGCACATATATACATATGTAACAAACCTGCACGTTATGCACATGTACCCTAGAACTTAAGTTAAAAAAAAAAAAAATCATGTCCATCAAACTCAAAAAAAAAAAAAAAAAAAGAAAGAATGCAGTGCTGCCCTGTCACAGTGGAAAGCAGAACTCAGAAAGCAGGACAAGGAAGAACTCAGCCAGTGTGGATGGAGGGAGCATGTAGACAAGCCTTAGCCAGAGGCAAACTGTCCATCCTGGTGGTCCCTGAGTTCCTGCAAGCCTTGCCACCATGCACTAAAGTGCCCAGGGGTCCTCAATCAACTTGGAAGGCAGTATAGGCCCCAAGTACTGCAATTTCTGGGCAAGTCCTGGTGCTGTGCTGGGCTTGAAGCCAGTGTACTTGGGATGCACACGACCTAGCGAGACGCCAGCTGGGGCAGCCAAGGGAATGACTGCATCATCATGCTTCCCCAACTCCAGGCAGAACAGCTCGCAGTTCCAGGAGAGACTCCTTCCTTTTGCTTGAGAGGTGAGGGAAGAGTAAAGAGGACTTTGTCTTGCAACCTGTATACCAGTTCAGCCACAGCAGGACAGGGTACCAGGCAGAGTCCTGAGACTCCCATTTCAAGCCTTAGCTCCCCAATAACATTTCTAGACACAGTCTAGGCCAGAAAGGAACCCACTGCCTTGAATAGAAAGAGCCAGTCCTGGCAGGACTCATCACCTGCTGACTAATAAGCACTTGGGCCCTGAATAATCAGCAATCATACCCAGGCAGTACTTGCTGAGGGCCTTGGGTGAGACTCAGAGCTGTGCAAACTTCAGGTGTGACCCAGAATAATCCCAGCTGGGATGGCTATGGGAAGCGACGACTTCTGTTTGAGGGAAGGAAAGAGAAGTAAAGGGGACTATGTCTTACAGTTTGGGTACCAGCTCAGCCACAGTGAGGTACAGCAACAAGCACACTCTTGTGGTCCCCAGGTATAGGCCTAGGCTCTTGGACAGCATTTCTGGACCTGCCCTGGGCCAGAGGGAAGCCCAGTGCCCTGAATGGTGCTGGCCTGGCAGAACCCCACCGTGAGCTGATGGTGGTTGTGGTCATAGGGAGAGGCACCTTTGCATGTGGAAAGGGGAGAAAAGAGTGGGAATGAATTTGTATTGTGATTTGTGTCAGCTTAGTCACAGTAGAATAGAACAACAAGTAAACTTCATCATGACTAAGTGGGATTTATTCCAGGGATGCAAGGATAGTTCAAAACACACAAATCAATCAATCTAATACATAATGTCAAAAGAATGAAGAGCAAAATCCAAATGATTATTTTAACAGATCTCAAAAAAAGGAATTTGATAAAATCAACATCCCTTCATGATAAAAACCCTCAAAAAACTGTGTATAAAAGGAATATACCTTTATCACATAAAAGCCAAATAAAGAACAAATCCCCAGAAGGTATCGTGCTGAATGGAGAAAAACTGAAAGCTTTTCCTGTAAGATCTGGAACAAGACAAGGATGCCCACTTTCACCACTGTTATTCAACATAGTACTAGAAGTCCTAGCTACAGCAATCAGACAAGAGAAAAAAGTAAAGGGCATCAATATAGGAAAGAAAGAAGTCAAATTATCATTGTTTGAAGATAATATGATCTTATAGTTGAAAAAACCTAAGGACTCCATCAAAAAAATTGTTAGAACTGATAAAAAATTCAGCGAAGTTGCAGGATACAAAACACAGAAAAATCACTAGCATTTCCATATGTCAACAATGAACAATCTGAAAAAGGAATAAAAAAAGTAATCCCATTTGCAAGAGCTACAAATAAAATAAAGCACTTAGATGCAACCTTAATTAAAGAAAGGAAAGAATTCTACACTGAAAACTACAAAGCATTGATGCAATAAATTAAAGAGGACACACAAAAACAGAAAGATATCCCATGTTCATGGATTGGAAGAATCACATGGTTAAAATGTCTATACTACATAAGTAATCTACAGATTCAATGCAATCTCTATTCAAATATCAATGACATTCTTCATCAAATTAACATGGAACCACAAAAGTCAAAGCTATCCTGAATACAAATGGAAAAAAAAAAAAAAAAAAACCTGGAGGAATCACATTCTGACTTCAAATTAAACTACAGAGATACAGTAACCAAAACAGTATGGTACTAGCATAAAAGCAGACACATAGACCTATGGGATATTTTGTTTTCGATTCTTTGGTTTCATTTCTAATTGCAATAGTTTCTTTTTAAATGATAGAAAAATCTCAACATATATTTCAAATGTGAAAACATATCAAGTTTTCATTGTTTCTGTAAATCTGGGTTCACAAAATTAACCACTAAGAGAATTTGCAGATGGTTTACTAAAATAAGTCTGACTTAAAAGTAATTAGAAAATTTGGAGACACTTCAATTTAACAGAAAAAAGCAATCATGTGAATAGAAAACCAGAGTGTCCTATCTGATAAGACTGACGGAAGCCTATTGAAAATAATAGAGCTTCTCCACTAATTTGGTTGACCAATTCATTTCCTGAATGAGTAATCCACACCTTTGCCTGCCTTTACTTTAGCCAAGAGAAAGGTCCTTCTTGCCTGGCTCCCTAAAATGAGAAAGTAGTGCCAATTCAGAAAGCTGCAATGGACTTGGTCCTCTGCATCGACGCTGCCATAGCTTTTGGGATATGTCCTATAGGCCATCAAAAGACTGGGAACCAGGAACTTTCCATATTTAGTGGATTAACTGCATTTTACTAAATATGTCATTTTCAAGCTTTTCTACAACTATACTTTGAATACACTACAGTTGTAAAAATGTGCATCTTAAGTTCTGATTTCTGATTGCATGTCTAGTCCCTAGGAATAGTGTAAACATTATTACTCTAGCAATAATCTATAGCTTTCTACTTTTTTCCCGTCATGTTTCTATTTTATGTGTTCTCCATTGAATGTAATTCTGACCAGTAAGTACATACTTCAGATTCAGATCCACTTCAAAATATACTGAGTTTTCTGTGCATAAATGTCACTTTAATGACTATAATAGTTCATCTTATGAATGTACCATTAATAGCTCATTTCTTCAGTGTTCAACATTCAGACTACTTCTACTCTTTTGTTATAATAAATACTGTTTCCATATCATTTTCCATACATCTTCATTTGCATTTTATGCTACTTTTATAGTAGAATCCCAGCAGAAAGATTCAAAGATCATGAATACTTTCAGTTATTGAGATATATTGCCAAGCGCTTTCACCAGAAGTTGTAAAAGTTTTCAGCTGGAAACTGCTTATGATAAAATGTTATTTAAAAACCTGAGGATAAAATTTAACATATGGTGTGCACTTAACCTGTGAAGTACAAAGTGAGGGGGTGGGAGTGGTCTGGCTGGAGGAGAATGATTTTATCACTGCCATTGTTTAGAAATGCCCAAGCATGGTGATAACAAAAAGCAGACCCACTGTTAGTTGGTTTTACTATTGCTATTAAATTCCCTTCAAACAACGCACCCTCTTGTGCTTACACCTGAGGGGGCCACTGCTTTTAATTACATAAATTTATATACATAAAGTAAGAGCCATATATCAAGTTGTTGACACAAGCAATGTGTAGGTTATTTATTAAACAATATTTATTGTGTGCTCTTCATGTGCCCACACCCCATGAGGTGCTAGAGATAGAATGTTAAATAAGACAAAGTTCATGCCCTCTAGAGGTAAAGTGGGGCTGGAATTATGGCTGATTTTATATTCTCTTTTACATATTGGCAGTGCCCACATTTTGCAAAAATGAACAAATCATTTTTATTTTCAGAATAATAATAAATGCATTAATTACTAGAAGTTAAAACTGCTATGATGAAATCTATTACTACTCATTCTTTAATACTGCAAACTAGATTCATTATTCCCTCCACAAACCTTTGTTTTCATACAAGGGGTCATTTGAAAGGCCCAAAGAGAGACAATATAAAAATTTAAATTGGTGAATGTAGGTTGAAAAATCTGGGGAAGTTTCCATGTTCAAAATAGGCCCTCCTATTCCCTCCCCTGATCCCACTGGTCTGCCAAAATACACACTCTCAAAAAGTGTCATGGAATGCCTCAGATACAACTAACTATAGATACTTTATAAATTTAATAGAATCACAATTACGAAGAGGATTTGAGGATGTTACAAACTGTGTCTGAGCCATTGTTAAGTCATCAGCTATATTCTTTCAATTACCGAATGTTTGAAGAACATGTGCTTTGTTAGAAACCTGGGGGAAGGGATGGGAAAATTCTCTGAGAAATTTCTGCCAAGAGGGAAGGAATAAACAGAAGTGATGCCTGCTCGGGTGGTGTCATATAAGATCTGGGAGTTAAAGCCTCACGAATACAGGGCATTTCCTTCATCATACAGAGGACATTATCATCCATTTATTTATATTACAAATATTTTTGGTATACTCAGGTAAGTTATAAACATAAAGTTATACTGGATATATAGAAGTGAATTAAGTATTTGAAGTTTTGTCCTCATGGCTCTTACAATTTAATAAGTCAATAAAATGAGAAAATAAAGTAAATAAATCCATATTTTCAAATTTGTTATAAAAGAACACGGTGGTCTGAGAGAGAAAGATAAGGAGCCCTTATGTAAGATGAAATGTTCACAGAAAGACCTTCTGGGAAAGAGACATTCCAGCTGAATCCCAGGGCAAAAAGGTGCTAGATATTATAGAGTGAAAGGAAAAACTTTCAGGTCAAGGAAATGGCAAGTGAGAGGCTATGACACAGGACTGGTAGTATGAGAAGCTCTGAGAGATCACCTGGCCATAATGAAGTGAACAAGTGGGAGAATGGTGTGAGAATGAAGTTGGAAAGGTGGGTAGAAATTAAGTTATCAAGTAGAGAGATATCTGGAGACCCATAGACAGAAATATATGGTTGAGGCTTGGAGGGATTTGGGAAAGGTTATAATGGAAGGGACTTTGTAGAAGCAGGACGGCCGTGACTTCAGTACATATAGGAAGCCACCGTATTTTCCCTTGGAAGAGAGGAACCCAGAAAGGTGAGTTCACATGGAAGTCATAAATGTCACTATTTCTGGGCATCTTCATAAGTCCTAGGTAGCAGGAATTGGAGGGAGAGGCTATCAAATGGTCGGCCTGTCCATAATGTCTAATGACTAAGCAATGTGATAGAGCATGGTTACCAAGTAAACCAGAGTGATCATCGGTCATTCACATCCTACTTCATCATGTAGCCACTGGTGCAAACTGCTAATCAAATGAAATTCAGTGTCTCTAATCTCTGATTGTGTCTACAACATCCACAGTATGTTTAAATTTGATAGAAGTATAGAATGATAGCTTATTTCTTTATTCCTTCTGAAGCCATCTTCCTCTCAATTTGAGATTTTTTTGACATGGATAATGCAGGTCACAGAAAGAACCCTTCTTTTTTCTTTGAATAGACCAAGTATAGGAATGATAAATAACAAATAACTGAAATTCAACTCAATCTCGTGCCAAAAAGAAAATCTGATGATATAATGTTATTAACCATATGGAAAATCCACTTTATTGCTACACTAATTCTGCTACTAATAAGATTAGTGCAGAAAAGACTGAATGAAGTCACTTCAATATTAATTGGTCTTTCAAAGCTTGAACAGAAATGGCTATTTTTAATTAATTTAGGAAGACTACAGGCACTGATTTTTAAAAATAGTGGCGTGAAAAGAGAAAAAGTAAATGCTAAGAGGCTTGAGAACATTATTAAACTCATTTATTATTCTTTATAAATATAGAGTAAGTTATAGAAATCTTACAAAATCAACAGAAGGAAAGATAATAGGCTATCATGAAATATGCAATTTATTTTTTAAATGGGAAAAGAACTATTGAATCATAAATGGAAGAACCATTAGGAAGTTATGTAAACGTTTCCCCTTTGAGTAATATAAATCCCATATCACCCTAATGTCTATGCCCTAATAGTTTTATTCATTATCATAAATTTCAGAAGTTTCATTCTTTCACTACATATTTCCAAGGCATTTTATTTTCATTTTAAACAATTAAACAACTTTATAGTCTCATATCTTCAAAATACATTTTGCAGTTTGTTAAAAATAAATGGGACTTGCCTAGCAATTAACAACATAGAAAATGGACTAACTTGATTTTGCTTTACTTCATTGTTATCTTTCACCTTTAGGAATTACAATTTTTAAGACTGGAAACAGAAAAGGCCATGGGTAGTCCAAAATTTCAGACATCCTGAATATTCTTTGATATAATCCTGCCATAGGGACATTGCATTAAAAATAAACAGGAAAAATAATTATTCCATCCCCTCCCTAGCTTCACCTCTTACCAAGAGAACAGGCTCATGACATAAGAACCAAATAGGTTCTAGAGTCAGACATACCTGGATTCAAATTCTTGTTCCTCCATTTATTAATACTATAATTATGTGCTTGAATAAATAAGTTATTAACCACTTGTGGGCCTCAGCTTTCCACTCTGGAAAACAGACACAAAGATATTCCTCAGGAACCATATACAGTGTATGTGACAGGATCTAATAGGATACTTAGCAGACATTAGCTGTTCCATAAATATTCATTTTGCTTTCCTTAAAAGTCAGTTGGCATACATTTTCAAAATCTGGCTGACTGAACCTGTGTCTCACCAAATACCTTTTCAAATTCTAGAAATCTACTTCAGAAGTTTAGGGTCAAAACAGTGGAGTCATCCTGAATTATCTTGGAGAGAAGACATAAACTTTCAAAGCCTATTTCCTTGTCAGTAAGATGAACAGTACCACAGCCTATTTCGCTAGGTGACAGCAGAATTTCTCAGTCTCAGAATTATAGATATTTTGGACGAGATCGTTTTTTGTTGTAGGGGGTTGTCTTGATAATTCTATGATATTTAGCAGCATGACCAGCCTCTACTCAATAGATGGTGTAAGTAGCTCCATCCCAAGTCATAACAACCAAAAACATCTCCAGACATTGCCCAATTTATTCTGGGGAACAAACTAAGCCTCCATTGAGAACTACTGGATTCAAATAAGTAACTTGAAAATTACTTAACATAGCACCTAGAACACAGTAATTTTCAATAGATGTTAGTTATTAGTTTTTACCCAGGTATAAAATTCAGGACTGCATTTCTGATTATGTTGTCTCTTCAATATTATACATAAGCATCAGTGACAGTAAAGAAACTGCTCAAAGAGGAGCCAGATCTTTCCATAATGACCCCAAAGCCACCAAAAATAAAATGATTAGATATAATTCTTTCTGGGCAAATATTCATTTGGACCTTGGGTATAAGGCGATGCTGGCATCCTGCTCTGCCTGACCTCCTTCTAGGAACCATCCTGTCTTTCCTAGTTGGTGCCATGCTGTGTCTCTTAAAGCAAGGTTACATCATGCTGCTCAGGAAGCAGGCTGAGCAATGGGAATAGCTCAACTCTGCACTGAGTTATACCAGTTTGGGCCTCATGCAGGGCTGATGCAGCTTGTGCATGGCTACCACTTCTTTCAGTCTCTCCTTTCTTTCAAACAGCCTTCTGCCAAATCTACCATGTGACCAGCATGTGTGCACATCTTCTGTGTATGCTTCAAAAGTGTAGGTGTCACAAATAAATGATAGCAAAATTTAGGATGGAATTAGTAGATTCTTGACTTTCTCTGAAAGTTAGAAATGTATTATAAAAACAAAACTTTATATGTAAGTTGATTGCATCAGACTCCCCCATGGGCATTAGAGGGTGATATTAGTAGTGAGCCATCAGTAATATCCCAAAAGATCCCACTGACTTGCCACACATAACACTTGTTTCCATAGACCACAGGACTGCAAACTTCAGCAGCCACTCACTCCCAGTCAAATCCAGGCCTTCATCTCTTTTCCAAATAAAGTGTTATTGAAACATAGCTACATTCATTTGTTTCATTCATCTTTGAGTGTTTCAGGCTACAGTGGCAATATTAAGTGGCAGAAACTATATGACCCACAAATCCTAAAATTTTTACTACCTAGTTGTGGTAATCTGATAATGACTCCCAAAGTCAGTGCTATGTTCTAATTTGTGAATGTTACCTTATTTGGGAAGAGAGACTTTGCAGGTGTAATAAATAAGTCAAGGATCCTGAGGTCAGATCCTTCTGGTGTATCTGGGTGAGCCCTAAATGACAGCCAAAGTGTCCTTGTATGAGACAGGTAGAGGGAGATTAGACACACCCAGAGGAGGAAAAGCTAACGTGAAGATAAAGGCAAAGATTGCTGTAATGTAGCCACAAGCCAAGGAATGTCAAGACATGTTGGCAGTCACCAGACTCTGGAAGAGGCAAGGAAGTGCTCTCCCCCACAGCCTGCCGGGTAGGATCCTGGCCCTTCAGAGCCCATGCTGGCACCTTGATATTGGACTTTTGGCTTCCAGAACTGTGAGAGAATAAATTTCTGTTAGAAGCCACCAAGTTCAGGGTAGTTTATTTAAAGTGGTCCCAGGACATTAATACTCTGGCCTTTTACAGAAAAAGTTTTCTGCAACAGGCGAAACCTGTACCAATCAATGCACATATCTACCACCCAACACAAGGAAGAAAATCTTTACACACACTATAAAAGCCATCTGCATACCCTTCCCTGATAACATCTAAATGTGATATTTACCAAGCCTGTCTACATCTTTTTACATATATCAATAAGGTATGCATCCAAAGCAAAACAGTATCATCTAGAGTAGGTTGCATTTTACATAAAAGGTATATTTCTATGTAACCTTCTAAAAGTTGCTTTTCTAGCTCACTACAATATTTTTAAGATTTATCCCCTTGATACACGAAGCTTTTAGTTTCTCTCAACATTTTAGTATATCACAATTCCTTTATTTACTCTGCTATGGATGGACACTAAAGTATTTCTCATTCTCATTATGATGAAGAGTACTGCTATACTTTGAGTGTGTCCCCCACAATTCATGTGTTGGAAATGGGGCCCTTGGAATGGCAATGTTGGCTGGTGGGTCGCTGAGAGGTGATTAGGGCATTAAGAGGAATTAATGCACCAGTAACAGACAAACAGAGAGCCAAATCATGAATGAACTTCCATTCACAATTGCTTCAAAGAGAATAAAATACCTAGGAATCCAACTTACAAGGGATGTAAAGGACCTCTTCAAGGAGAACTACAAACCACTGCTCAGTGAAATAAAAGAGGACACAAACAAATGGAAGAGCATACCATGCTCATGGATAGGAAGAATCAATATCGTGAAAATGGCCATACTGCCCAAGGTTATTTATAGATTCAATGCCATCCCCATCAAGCTACCAATGAGTTTCTTCACAGAATTGGAAAAAACTGCTTTAAAGTGCATATGGAACCAAAAAAGAGCCCGCATCTCCAAGACAATCCTAAGTCAAAAGAACAAAGCTGGAGGCATCACGCTACCTGACTTCAAACTATACTACAAGGCTACAGTAACCAAAACAGCATGGTACTGGTACCAAAACAGAGATATAGACCAATGGAACAGAATAGAGCCCTCAGAAATAATACCACACATCTACAGCCATCTGATCTTTGACAAACCTGAGAGAAACAAGAAACGGGGAAAGGATTCCCTATTTAATAAATGGTGCTGGGAAAATTGGCTAGCCATAAGTAGAAAGCTGAAACTGGATCCATTCCTTACTCCTTATACGAAAATTAATTCCAGATGGATTAGAGACTTAAATGTTAGACCTAATACCATAAAAACCCTAGAGGAAAACCTAGGTAGTACCATTCAGGACATAGGCATGGGCAAAGACTTCATGTCTAAAACACCTAAAGCAACAGCAGCAAAAGCCAAAATTGACAAATGGGATCTCATTAAACTAAAGAGCTTCTGCACAGCAAAAGAAACTACCATCAGAGTGAACAGGCAACCTACAGAATGGGAGAAAATTTTTGCAATCTACTCATCTGACAAAGGGCTAATATCCAGAACCTACAAAGAACTCAAACAAATTTACAAGAAAAAAACAAACAACCCCATCAAAAAGTGGGCAAAGGATAGGAACAGACATTTCTCAAAAGAAGACATTCATACAGCCAACAGACATATGAAAAAATGCTCATCATCACTGGCCATCAGAGAAATGCAAATCAAAACCACAATGAGATACCATCCCACACAAGTTAGAATGGCAATCATTAAAAAGTCAGGAAACAACAGGTGCTGGAGAGGATGTGGAGAAATAGGAACACTTTTACACTGTTGGTGGGATTGTAAACTAGTTCAACCATTATGGAAAACAGTATGGCGATTCCTCAAGGATCTAGAACTAGATGTACCATATGACCCAGCCATCCCATTACTGGGTATATACCCAAAGGATTATAAATCATGCTGCTATAAAGACACATGCACACTTATGTTTATTGCGGCACTATTCACAATAGAAAAGACTTGGAATCAACCCAAATGTCCATCAGTGACAGACTGGATTAAGAAAATGTGGCACATATACACCATGGAATACTATGCAGCCATAAAAAAGGATGAGTTTGTGTCCTTTGTAGGGACATGGATGCAGCTGGAAACCATCATTCTTAGCAAACTATCACAAGAACAGAAAACCAAGCACCACATGTTCTCACTCATAGGTGGGAACTGAACAATGAGATCACTTGGACTCGGGAAGGGGAACATCACACACAGGGGCCTTTCATGGGGGGGGCGGGAGGGATTGCATTGGGAGTTATACCTGATGTAAATGACGAGTTGATGGGTGCTGACGAGTTGATGGGTGCAGCACACCAACATGGCACAAGTATACATATGTTTAACAAACCTGCACGCTATGCACATGTACCCTAGAACTTAAAGTATAATAATAATAAAAAAAAATATTAAAAAAAATAAATACTTGTATTAGAAAAGAAGAAAAAAAAAGGAATTAATGCCACTCTTGAGGGACTGGGTTAATTCTCACAGCAGTAAGTGAATGAGCTCTTGCTCTTGCAGGACTGGATTAGTTACTGAAAAGAGTAGGTTGCTATAAGGCAAGGCCACCCCCCATGTGTTGTCTCTTTCACACACACTACCTTGCTCTTCTGCTTTTCCACCATGTTATGACATAGTATGAAAGCCCTCACCAGAAGCTGCCACCATGTTCTTGGACTTTCTAGCCTCCAGAACTACAAGCCAAAATAAACTTTTTCATCGCTACAAATTATCCAGCCTCAGGTATTGTTACAGAAACAGAAAACAGAGGAAGACAAGTACTATTATGAACTTTCTTACATATATCTCTCTTATGCACAATTGTAAAGATAACTCCAGGATTTTTATTTAGAAATGAACTTTACAGAGAATATGTCTCTTCAGCTTTATGATGTCAACTGCCTTTGAAAGGAATTCAATAAATTACACTGCAATCAGTAGCGTTTCTGTGTTCCTGTTTCCCCAATCCTCACCAACCCTTGACATAAGCAGGTTTTTAAATATTTTTTCCACGTGTATGAAGTAAGCATTTGCTCTTTAGAATAAAGCTTGCCATAGTAGACAATGTATTATAAATGTTAACTCCCCAACTTCATACTCACAGTGAAAATAAGGAAGCAAGTTTATGATTAAAAAAAACACCAAAAATAATAACAAAAGAATTTTTAAAGACATAGTTTAAATTGTATCTGGTATGCAGCTGGAGTATTGGCAAAAAATCATTGGATTAACTGTGTGTGACTTTAGGTCAACCATTTTAACTCTCGTGCAAACTTTTTTTGTTCATTAAATGGGAGGCTACTCTCTCTGTGGCCTCTTCCTGCTCCAAAAGTCTCTGCCTGTAATAAAAAGTAATAAAAATAAATAGAATTCCAAGCAAAGCTGGCAATTCTACCACTTTAATGCCTCTTTTCTTCAGAATATATGAACACTGGCACAAAAGAGTCATACATCCTTTGGGTGGTTTTCTGCTGTATCTGCCTACCTCTATAAAGCAGGAACTATTCCACACTTCCCCTCATTCCTTCAGCTCCAGCTATCCTGGCCTTCTTTCATTCCCTATTGCTCCAAGAGGAACATCCTTACCCTCCTTCAGGTCTTGGCTCAAGTGCCACCTGTTTAAGGAATCCTTCCCCAAGCTCCCCATCAAGACCAAATTCCCCTGTGATGGCTTCCTGTGTAGCACCCTTATCCTTGTAATACAGTCAAGTCCATCACCAGGCAATAAATCAGGTTTGCCATTCAATCATATAAAATGTGGGATCATGTTAGAGTGAAGTTTGTGGAAAAACATTACTTTTCAGTTTCTCTTTACTGTCACAGAAAGCAGAAAGATAAGCACAGTGAAGGGTATATGGAATACAATGGACTAAACTAAGAGTTCCAAACAACAATGAGATTGGAAAGGGAGTCAGGGATCATTCAGTTCCTTAAAAGGTTTAGGAAGGATTTTAAAGCTTATTCTCAATTTAATGAGAAATCATTTTATTTCTACAGTGTCTTATCATTTTTTTTAATTCCCCAATCATGAAGTAGTTGGAAAAACTACTGAACTACTAAACCTCATTAAGGAGTTGAAGTTTCCTTTCAACTTCTTAATGATGTTTGCCCTAAGAAATTAAGAACTGGAAATTGAGAATGGAGAATGAACACTGGATCAAGCATCAAAATCAACTATGTTATAACTGGTTCTACAATTCTGAGTTTGTGTGTCATGGGATAAGTTTTCTTGAGTTTTAGTCCATACGAACTCTAGTTTATGTGTCATTAGATTAATGTCCAACTTATTACCTGAAAATTAAACTTCAGGAAGGTAGGATTTGGTGTAATGCAGAGTAAATGTTCAGTAATCACTGCTTGAAAGGAAATCAAAAGAAAAAAAAGAACCATATCAATAGTTTATTTCTGGGAGAGAAAAAGAGATATGACACTATAGAAATAATACACTTTATTATTAAATTTAGGATAAGCTTCAAAGTCCTTTCTAAACCCTCTAAGAGACTGAATGATCCCTACTCTCTCTCTAATCTCATATTCCCATGCCCCTCCCTCATCATCCTCCAGCCAAGTAAATGTCTCTGAATTCTTTGGTAACCCCAGGCTTCTCTCCCTGCCTGGAATTTTCTTCTCCCACATCTTTACTTAAGGGTTTCCTTATCTTTCTCACCTTGTCTCACACATCACCTCCTCAGAGAAACTCTATCTGAAAAGCCTATTTAAGCCTAACCTACTGATACCTCCAAATCCAGTTACTACTTTCTGCTGCTTATTTACTTCATAATCTTCATTCTAGGCTCAGAACGTGTTTCTTAATTTGCTTTGGGTTTACTTGTGTGTTAACTTCTTTATGTATGTAAGCTGCAATAACTGGTTCAGAACATATACTGTATTAGTCTGTTTTCATGCTGCTGATAAAAACATGCCTGGCACTGGGTAATTTATAAAGAAAAAGAGGCTTAATGAATTCACAGTTCCAAGCGGATGGGGAGGCCTCACAATCATGGTGGAAGGCGAAAGGCACGTCTTACATGGCGGCAGGCAAAGACAGAATGAGAGCCAAGTGAAAGGAGTT